CTCTCTCTCTCTCTCTCTCTCTCTCTCTCTCTCTCTCTCTCTCTCTCTTAGTTTAGCAGCAAATGTTTCCGCTCAATTCTCTTCCATGTTCTCTGTTTCTTCCCCTACCTCTTTTTCTTGTCCTTCTGTCATAGCTCCTCCTTCCAACTGCCGCACTTTATTTCCCAAGGATGGTATTCATTTTTCCGCAGTTTGGGGGTGCGGGGGAATGGAATGATGCCTTGTGAAAATGCCATGGTCCAGGGATCCCACATTGTTAACCCTGCTTTTCCAAGGAAAGGCTTCCCTCAGCCTTGTCCTATAGGATATTTTGGATTCCCAGCCACCAGCCCAGAAAATTCCACCAAAGTTGTTGCTAAGGGTATTTCTGGACCCCTCTTCCCTGCTCACACCGGCTGCTTGTCTGAAGCGGTGACAGCGCCATAGACCTTGCAGGCATGAGAAGACCAGTTCACCAAGAATCGATGCATTTTTAGAGATACCAATTAGCCTGCTTTTCTGTACTAGTTATTTTATTGTGCTTTTGAAATATTTTATTTTGAAGCCATCCTGATAACTGGGTTGATGTGCAGGCATACCTTTGAGTACACAAGTTTTTAAATTTAAAAGAAAAAAATCTTGCACACCTTGGTCACCAAAAGCACAAGCATTTTCTTGGGCTTCTCCCCCTCCCCCCACACACCCACACACCCCACAATGATCAGCACAGCCAAATGAGGATTGCACGCTTGGGAGAAACGGAATGGAGTGTCCTGGAAGGAGGCCTGGCTGGCTGACCCCCAGAGCAGGACGCCTTCATGCTGCAACCATTCGTTGCAGGTCCTACATGGACATGCAGATGGTGGGCATGTTGTGAGTGCAGCCAGCAGGAGCCAGGGGTCAGACTAGATGGCCCAGGAGGCCCCTTCTGACTCGCGCTGTTTCTATGTTTCTGTGACCACACATAATAACTACATGCTCACAGTTCAACACCATGCGCCATTTGAGATCCGTTTAACTGGAAAGACCAGGAATGGCTGCCCGGATCGTTGCACGCGAGGAACTTGCACGAGGCACCATTATTCAGCAGGGGCTGCCTGCAGAGCATCAGGTCCGAACTGAGCAGCGAGGTGGGGGGAGCGGGGACAACTGCGGCACCTCCTGAAGGTCACCCGTGCCAACACTTCCACCTCTATGCATGTCGACATCCTTCCCTCATGGCGTATATTTCTGTTGATTGCTCTGCGTCGCCAGCAGGAGCTGTCACGGAGCTGATGAGCTTTTTGTCCTTCAGAGAAGCCCACCACGTCCCGCGCATGCTGACCAGCATTTCAGTGGTCATTACCGGCCTCAGTTATATTGGATTTTTGATTATTCCGAAGGCGGGTGGGGTTCCTTCCTGATATAAACTCGAGTAATTTTTCATGGGCCTTTACACTGCCATCTCTTCAGCGACACGATAAAAAGCAGATTGTAAAAGCTGGGGAATATCATTACAGATAGCAAGCATTCTTACATTTTGCTGTCCAGAGGCTGGCCATGAGGTGAAAAGGCAAACATGATTGCCTCTGCTCCCAGGACAGCCAGAAAAATTTGAGCGTAAATGACTGGGGCAAAAGAGGCCATTACACCACAAACATGCCTTAATGCAGGTTGTGGTATACTGCATTTCAGTGCACTTTAGAACTGACCAACTAACTCCAAGACACTTCAGAAGAGGCAGAGAGGGTAGAGGAGTCCAAACTCCTCCATTGTACAGTACCTTCCTTAGAACCAATTAATATTCCACAAAAATGTGCAAGCTCTTGATTTCTAGAATGCTTCATCAGGTTTGGGGATTGGGGCATCTAATCTCTAGCCTTCTGTCCCCTCCCAGTGGGGCAATACACAGTGGCATTCATTCAAGCTGAGGAAAGGTGTCTTTCACCAGGAATATTTTTCTGAACACTTTTCTCCTCTGCTGAGCATTGACCATGAAAATATCAGTTGGGGAAATGCTATTTGGGGATGGTACCTGTGGGGGTAGACGGAGAAGGCTCTTGGGAGTTCTTCAGCCATACCTGTTTTGCTGTTAAAAATGTGCCTGCACTTTGGTTTGCACTTAAGATTAACCTAAAGTTAAGCCATGTTTTAAGCCATGTTTCATTTTTGTTCTACTCAGGGTTTGTCTGGCAGATGATCAAACAACCCACAACTGGCCTTCCCGATCCCTGGGTTTTCTCCCTCCTGCTCTGCCCATTTCTACCCTGTCCCCCACACACTTTTGCAGCACCAAAGTACTGGCTTATAGACTTGCTGTTCCTCCATTACCCTTCCACGCTCTCTCTGCAGCCTGGTGAAACAACCCCTGAACCACACGCAGTTCTGGATTCACACATAATGACAACCATTCCTTTAAACAACCCAGAGTCTGTACCCAACAACAAACCATAGTTTCTTTTTCTGGATTGTTATGTTAACAAACCATCATTTGGTTGTGTGTTCGGGTCTGCACATCACGACAACCCAGAATTCCACTACTCAAGGGTTAAACAAACCATGAGTTAGCTGCTTTGTCACCGGACCATTTCCATAGTCAGATCTATAAGAAGACTATAATCTTTTCATTTTATGGGTACACGAAGCTGTAATACTTCACAACCCGCACTGTGTTCTACTACTGTTTATGGGTTTTGATCGAGGATCACGGCAATATTCTCACCCATTGGGAGTTATTCGGTGGTGGCGTTGTATTTTTATTATCAGCGCTACCTTTCCTCACACTGCAGATGGCACATTCAATGAAGTACAAGTAGGAGGGAAGAAATAGGTCATTAACACGCTGGACGGTGATTCTTGTGTCCCCACATCACAGTCAGTCGGATAAATAACGTGGAGCCCTCTCCGGCTGGCCCACTTCTTTTGACATGCAGTTCTTTTTTTAAAGCAATACCTAAACAGTGCTGCATAAAAACAGGTTTTGGATGCCAGCACGGTGCAGTCATGCAAAAAAGAAGCAAGCAGGAATAAATAGCAAAATCGTTTGGTACCCTGTTCCTCTAAGCCCCATTCATTCCAAAGGGCCTTCAAGTAGCACTAATGGCCCATCAAGAGGCATTAAATATTTGGGGTTATTTCTGTGTATAAGGCATTTTGATCAGGGGGTGGTCCAAAAGAATCAGATGGTGTGAACTGGTGTCCTGCAACAGCAGGGGATTGGAGCTGATTGGCCTTCTTGGCTCCTTCCGACTCTACAATTCTTTGATTCTAGGAGACCGAGGACTCCTGACAGGTCTCAGGGAGAATTGCAGTGCATCCCCAAGTCTTGATGTTTGAGCAGTAGGACTCTGTAAGACCAATGATCCCACAAAGCACAGGCCTAATTTAAGATGCTGGGTCTAACCCATAAAGCCATCTAAGGGAGGTAGTGTGGTATAGTGGTTAGCATGTTGGACTGGGATCTGGGAGATCCAGGTTCTAGTCCTCACTCAGACATGAAAGCCCACTGGGTGACTTTGGGCCAGTCACAGACTCTCAGCCCAACCTACCTCACAGGGTTGTTGTTGTGGGGATAAGATGGAAGAGGAGATGTAAGCTGCCTTGAGCCCTTTGTAGGAAAAAAGACAGGATATAAATTGCTAAATAAACAAACAAACAAATAATAAAATAAAGAAATATTCTATCTGTGACAGCCCTGCCCAGCCCTTGTGGGCTTTGATGGCTGCCTGGGAAACACTAAAGGAGGGCTTTTCATGCAAATCCTGCTCCCAAGTAGCACCTGGCTGACCACTGCTGGAAGCAGGTTACGAGGTCGGGTAGACCCTTGATCTGATGCAGCAGAACCCTTCTTACACTGACTGGCTAAGCGTTTCTGCAGCATTTGGAGCTGCAGTGAACATGGGGTCCATAACCCAGCTTCTGCGCAACTCCTGTGGAAAACAGTGGGGTTTGCGACTTCTGGGAAATTGACCATGTTCAGCAGTATGTGCCCACCAGAGAATGTGCTCGTTTGGATTTTCCTCCTTGTGGATGTTCCAGCTTGTGCACTGAAATGTTTTGCACCGCTGAAGGATGCATAGAACCATTGCCAAGCCATGTGGCCCCCACACCCTCCAGATATGTCAGACTGCAACACCCATCATCCCTGGCAAGTACACTGACTGTGAATAATGGGTGCTATGGTCCCCAAACTAGCAGGCACTGGGTTGAGGAGAGCTGTCCTGGCCTGGAATGTATTAGGTTCTAGATTTCACTCCTGAAATGCAAACCATGATGAAGCAGTGCATAAACTGTTTCTCAAAATTCTCTACCCTGTTTGCAGACAGAGAAGCTGGGAGAGAATTTTCCTGTGTTTCTCCATGGAGAGAAAGGGTCACCATGGGCAAGGGTGGTGCCAGTTTCTTACCTCCCTGCTTGCCCACAGGCCTTTCGTTCCTCTGTTTTTGCAGGGCCAACCATGTTCCTAGCCTGGTCCCCAGGCTCCACCCAGGGGAGGGGGACTTTTGGCACCCAGCTTCAGGGAAAAGGAGGCGAACCAGCACTGCACCAAAATCTGTCCTGAATTTCCTGAAAGTTTCCTTCTGCCTCATTCTCAAGGCATTTTCTAATTTATTTCTGTGCTTTGAGCAAACCGAATCACTGTGAGTGGCCACAGGTGATCTGTGCGCATGTTTTCCTTTCTTCTGCACATTTCTCCATTGCTGTGGAGCCTTCTGGACTGCCTGCAATTCCTGATTGGAGAACACCCTGGGAGAGCAATTACTTCATTATGTCTTCCCCTGGGCTTTAGTGGAAATGCAGAAAGCCAAGGAAGGTATATCCTGCTGGAGAGAGGATTATACTGTGGAAGACAGGGCTTGGATGCACACTCTGGTGGTGTCTCATATATGAGCACAGGAAACCCAAG